ATTCATTCCATTCATTCCATTCATTCCATTCATTCCATTCATTCATTCACCCATTCACTCATTCACTCGTTCACTCATTCACTCATTCACTCATTCACTCATTCACTCATTCACTCATTCACACATTCACTCATTCACTCATTCACTCATTCACTCATTCACTCATTCACTCATTCACGCAGTCAGTCAGTCAGTCACTCAGTCAGTCAGTTAGTCAGCCAGTCAGTCTCCGAACTGCTCCTGCGGGAAGCACCAGCTCACGACGCTGCAGCCTCTCCTCCAGACGGCGTGGGAGGACAAATGGGTTCTTCATGTAGAGAGGTCATCTAATTGAAGCGATCGTAGCATTATATGATGAGTTGGCGGAAAGGTTTTTGGGAACTAGGTTGTGACGTCAGTTCGATGCAATTCTGTTGCATGACTTGACTTGGTGGATGTATATTAATTGCGTATTTTTTTTGATCATGTTCCTGCTCGAACGCAGGAGTACCAAGGGACGAAGTGGCGGTTCACTCCAGGTGGTCAAGCCCTTTGGCTTTACTGCCTGGAGTGCCTCCAAATTGGTGGCCACAGGACAGGGGCTTAAGTATGTGGGCTGCTTTTGTCAACGGTGGGGGCATTGATTGTGTTTCCATGAGCGAAGTATCAATTTGGAAAACATACGAACGGCTTTTCGTTAAAATGATTTTAAATGATAGTATGCCATTGTCATTGAATTGGGGATCTGGATGTTGTGCCCTCCTGGTTGATGCGGCCAGGATGGGCGGGCTCCGAACCGGTTTTGCAAGCCAAAGGGCCCGCGGCTGTGACCCCTCCCCCGCACCAGGGGAGCAGGGTCATGCGCGCGGATGGTTCCTGGTTTCACCTAACCAGCGCGCCTCCGGAGGCTTGGAACTTAGCCTCGGTGCAAGATCATTTCTTTTTCTGCCCTGGATGTTGCGGACAGGTGGCGCCTTCTGTGACGCAGACCCCGCCGCAGAAAAAGAGGAAGTTGCAGCGCCAGGCAGGTCAACGTTAAAAAAATTGCTTGGTTGCGGCAATGCAAGCATGATGTGGCGGACTTGGGGCTGCCGAGAGGAGTTCTATGTGAAATTGTGTAAGTTAGTAGCACTATTGGGTTCATTTGACGTGTTCGTTTCTGAGGTGGTCAATTTTTTTGGTGGGTGGATTTAGGAAGAAACATGACGCAGCATGTGCATTGAAGGGAAAGAGTGCATATTTGCGATAGGCTGCTTCTCCTTCTTCCGCGCCGCAGCAGCCAGTGGCGGCTGCTCGGAAGCAGGCAAGTGGTGTGGCGCGGGGAGTAGGTCAGATTGTTTTCGCCGGAAGTTGGCATTATTCTTTGGACTTAAAAACGAAACCGCGTGATTTGCAGATGCGATATCTTGTTTGCAAAATGATTCGGGCAAGGTTGCGGATTCAACGTGCATTTGTCTTGTCGGGTATCGAGTGGATTTACCAGAACGGAAGGGTATGGATAGAGGGGAATGGTTGAGCAGTTATCTTTGAAAGTAAAAACTTGGTTGGCGGTTGAACGGTTTATTTCTGAGTGTTTTGCAATGCTCGTTCAAAGGTTGATAAGTCTTATGAGGGTTAAATGGTTACAGGCGGCTTCGCGCTCCTCGTCGACGAGCTCGTCCTCTAGCTCTTCGTCGACCCCGGTGCAGCGGCGAGAATGCGACGGCTGGAAATTACTGTGTGCTCGACTGTATTGGATTTGTTTTTGGATTTTCAAAATGTTTTCATTTTGCGAAAGGATTCAAGTTATGTTGCATTGAAGGTTGAGGATTACATGTTTATTGTGGATATGGTTGGTCGTGGAGCGATGTGTTGATGGGCGAGTGTTTCAGTCAGTCAGTCAGTCAGTCAGTCAGTCAGTCAGTGACTCGCTCACTCACGCACGCACACACGCGCGCACGCACGCACGCACGCATGCATTCACTCACTCAATCACTCATGCACTCATTCGCTCATTCGCTCATTCGTTCATTCCCGCATTCACTCAGTCTCTAAGGGGCGCATTGATTCGGTCAGGGGCGGCCTTCGCTTAGGGCATTGTGGTGCAACATTGGGCCCAGACATAGTTCGGCAATTCTATTATAACTCGACCATTTCTGACTGTAAAGGTCACCTATTTGATTTTTTGGTCCAACAGGTTTGGTTTTAACCCACGCCCGGGTATTGACTGAGTCGATGGTTTCGATGTTTTTTTTTGAAAGGTGGGGCCTCAACCTGTGTGAAATGGGGGATAGAAACCAATATATATATATGTATATAACCAATTTGCAATACGTTTGGGGAGGTTTCAAGGATTTTCCGCAACTAGCGACGGAAGTTCACCATCATTCGATGGAAGATATGATCTGCATTGATATGCTACAGTAGGTTTTTTTACCAGCATCGGCGTTCAACCTTCATGACATAGGGATGCTGTACCCGATATAAAACTGGCAAAGTTGTTGCTGGTTGCCCAACTGCACATGGTTGCCTTGTGGCTTTTATAACCCCGTGGGGGTGGGCTGGGGCAATCGCATTCAAGTCAACTGGCCCATGCAGTGGATACCATGCTTCCAATACATGTCAAAGAAAAAATCCAGTCCACGTTGAAACATGACGAGTTAGGTAGATCTGAGAAGAAATCATTAGATGCGCAAGGTACGCACGGTGCTAGGTACAGGTACAGTAAAAATATGTTGGAATATATTGAGCGTATTGACATGTCAAGTCAAAGTGTATATAGTACAACGCCAACACATTTGCAACACCAATCACCAAACTTTCCATTCTGGAAGAACATTTTTTAAGACTTTGGCTTCCGCATGGATATTCCCATATGTCCACGGGCCCGTTTTTTTTTTCCCAATGCCGAAAAACCTGCCTCCAACATCGTTCTCAGCCAGGAGAAGTCCAAGGGCAACGAGACACAGGCGGGCTATGCCAAGGATTACCGCGTCAAGGTAGAGAATGAACTGCAGAAGATCTGCGACACCATCCTGAAGTTGCTGGATCAGGGTCTCATCCCTAAGGCGACACAGGCGGAGTCCAAAGTCTTCTATCAGAAGATGAAAGATACTCGGCGAAATGATGGTAGTTTTGTGTTAAAATAAATTTTACTCGTGCAACCAACTATATACTATTATCAATGCGTTTTTTCAATGTTAGGAAATGTCTGTCTTTATAGTGTGTGTTTTGTCCGAAAATGCCCGAAACATAGAGCCCATAAAGCCTCATCATTATATATCTCGGTACTTGCATTAAACAATTCCATTTGAGGGATATACAGTACACCATTTTCAGACAAACTCATTCGATCCCAATTTGGATGTATTGAGATGTTGTGATCATTCTGCGTTGATACGGGTGTGGGTCCAGAGTAGGGAGCCCAGAGTGTTCTAGGCCTTCGATTTTATTTCAACAATGCAATCTTCTTTTTGACATTACAATATGACATGTCAGTCTCAACCTTGGATGATGGAAGCAGGTAGATGCCTATGTCTTTGGTGACACGTTTTCTCACAACACTTTTGGGGCATTGTTGTTGTTATCATGCTACATGGGTGGGGTGGAGCATGTTTACTCACACACACACATAGGGTAGGCTAAATTTTGATATCTTCTCTTGCCCTGGCAACACAGTGGGATGCTACGTTACCTTATCTTCTCTTGCACTTGCGCGTACGCTTGTTGCTACCTTGTGAAATCTTCTCTTGCACTTGCAGACACGCTTGCTGCTACGTTGTGAGATCTTCTTTGTGACTTGCGGACGCAATTGATGCTACGTTAGGAACCTTCTCTTGCACTTGCGGATGCACTTGATGCTTCATTATGAGATCTTCTCTTGCTCTTGTGGATGCACCTTCCAACATCCTGAATGCTACATTGTGAGATCTTCTCTTGCGCTTGCACATACACTTGATGCTGCGTTGTGAGATCTTCTCTTGCACTTGGAGACAGGCTTGATGCTACGTTAGGAGATCTTCTCTTGCTCTTGTGGATGCACTTTCCAACATCCTGATTGCTACATTGTGAGATTTTCTCTTGCACTTGCAGGCACGCTTGATCCTACGTTAGGAGATCTTCTCTTGCACTTGCGCGCAAACGCGTGGGATGCTACGTTGTGAGATCTGCCCTTGCACTTGCACATACGCTTGATGCTACGTTGTGAGATCTTCTCTTGCACTTGCAGACAGACTTGATGCTACAATTGATTCTACTTCCCTGTCCCAGGATTCAGCAATGGATTTTGAGGCACAGTTTGGCAAAGTGACAGCTGAGCGACAACATGAAAAAAGGAACATATTCAGCCTAAATTTTGCGTCGTGAAAAGTCCAAACACATCATTCATTAATTAACAAAACGTGAGGTTTAATTAGTACATTGGAATAAAAAACGCAGGATTGCGAAAAACATGTGTTACCATGTTTTTGGGGGACGGATGGTTGATCCACCGCTTAATTAATCATTTGTTTTTGCTTGTCAAATTCAAGCTACGTACATGAAATCCTTTTCTTTTGGCAGTTCCCCAAGTAGTGTGTCCTCACTGAGGGGTTCTTACGGTAAGTATAAAGGCCGGTGCTTGATCAGCGTGCTCCAGCTGGGGGTGGCATTTTCCTGTAAATTTCTGTATAAAGTGGCTCTTGTGAAATGTCTTAAGTGCACTTCGACTGCGCAGGCCCGCACGAAGTCTGCTTCGCGCTTCTGGGCCCCGGCATTTTTCCTGTAAATTTCCGCATAAAGTGGCTCCGACTGCGCAGGTTCCCACAGAGTCTGCGTCGCGCTTCTGGGCCCTGCGTCTTTACTCACAGTTCGCATAAAGTGGCTCTTGTAACATGTCCAAGTGCATTTCGACTCTGCAGGCTCGTACAAAGTGTGGGTCCCAGTCTTGGGATCGGTTCTCTTCCTCAACACCATCATCCTCAACATTATCATCATCAGCATCTTCCTCCTCCTCCTCCTACTCAATATCACCATTCTCAGCATCATCATCTTCCTCCCCCTTGACCTCATCGTCCTCAACATCATAAGCCTCAACATCAAAAGCCTCCACCTCATCTCCCGCAACATCATCATCCTTTTCATCCTCCTCCTCAACATTATCATCCTCAACATCATCAGCACCACCAGCATCATCATCATCATCATCATCATCATCCTCTTTCTCAACATCAGCCAAAAACCTTATCCTCATCCTCCTCAACATCATCATCCTCAACATCATCCTCCTCCACCTCATCATCCTCAACATCATCATCCTGCACCTTATCATCCTCAACGTCCATAGATGTCCTTTTCCCATTGGTTGGTTGATTATTAAAGGGGTTTGTTTACCCCTTTAACAACAGGTAAATAATGATAGATGGTATACCAAACCGGCCCCTCTATTTTTACCCAAGGACATTATTGTCAACGCCATCATCCTCAACATCATCGTCCGCAACATTATCATCCTCCTCCTCCTCCTCCTCCTCCTCCTCCTCCTTGTCATCATCATCATCATCATCATCATCATCATCATCATCATCATCATCATCATCATCAACAGCAACATTATCATACATTATCCTCCCACTCCCCCACACTGTTCGGGGTCTCTTGCCGGGATATTTTTCCACGGTTCTTCTTAATGACCCAAATTGATCATGATCTCCATTTTCATTGTTCGATACATCCCTTCTTTTCAGCGTTGAAACTTAGTTCATTGTATGCCAATCTGGTTTCCAAAAAACCAGCTCTGGTGAAATCAGAGAGCAAACCTCGGTTTGGTAAAGTCAGTTCCGATCCATGGACAAATCTATCGAATCATAAAATTCAAAGAGTGTCTCTGCTTTCCGCAAGTTTCGTCCCCCTTTCTTTGGTGGTTTGGAGCATTTTCCCCATCCTTTTTTGGCCGTTTTGACCACCCCAGATCCCCGGTGCCCCCTGGATCCCGATGGATCCCAGGCTGACTACTACCGCTACATTGCGGAGTTCCGCAGCGGCGACGAGAAGAGCAAGGCTGCCGAGGAAGCGCGGAAGGCTTACGCCGAAGCCGCAAAGGTGGCCAGTGAGGCGCCATGGGAATACCATGGGGAAAAATACAGGGATAGACATGGTTTCTGATGTGGTTTCTATAAACGAAACCAGTCAAGTGAGAACTGATGAGAACTGTATTGAAAGGTGGATGAACGGTGGATTTTTAAACCCGTGAAGTCTTGCGAATGGAAACATGTGATGAGAATGTGAGGGACATCTTGTTGAAAACAGAAATTCAAACCATCTGGGTCTTCAGGGGTTGGATTCCGAAGGATTCCCATTCGAGTCCCATTTTTTTCATATCACTACGGTGAATTCTTGGAAACCACAGGGATGGTTGGATTTTTCGATGAAAATTACATACAAATTCGGGGATAATATAATATGTATATGAGCTATATATATATATACACATATAATATCATATATATGTATATATAGTACATGTAGAGCAAAAATGTTCGGGTCACCCATTATTTTCGGGATTTCATCAATCATTTCATGTGGATGGAGATGAGATCTCCATAGGACTTGGCCGTCACACATCCAATTCGTCTTGGCTTGGCCTTGAACTACTCGGTCTTCATGTACGAGGTGCTGAATGATCCTGATGAGGCCTGTAAGATGGCGCGCACCGCCTTTGAGGATGCCATTGCTGAGCTGGACAATGTGGCAGAGGACAGTTACAAGGATTCGACTTTGATCATGCAGCTGTTGCGAGACAATCTGACCCTCTGGACTTCGGACCAGGAGGCCGGAAACTAATCCCTTCCCATGAAGGGATAGACTAAGATCGCGCTGTCAGCAACAAGACCCATTCGGAGCGGTACAACGGCTCTGGATGGCTGGCGTGCGAGAGGGAGATGGGGGGAACCTGACAGAGCAACACACAAAAATGCTCAAAAGGAGCTGTCCGCTGCCGCTCTGCACCCATGCTGCATGCGTCTCATAGCTTCATTGATAGATCATCCCAGAAGACGGGAAAAAAACATGGGATTCTGATAGCTGAATGGAAAAGGAACAATTAACAAACCAACTGATGAATCCTCTCAAGTCGAAGCTTCGTGAATCTTCACAAAACCGGGAAACACCCAGAAGTTACCCTGACGTAATTCAAGAGTTTGCGAAAATGGTCCATTTGGTTCAATGATTTCCTTACTAAAGATAGATAACATGATTTTCCTTAGCAACTGTTAAATTACCAGAGGGTATCGTGTCAAAGACGAAACTTCCCAGATTTTGTCCTTGAACGACCTGGTGTTTTTTGAGGTCCAAAAGCCCAACGTGAAGGAGATGGGCGCTTCCATTGCGCTGGTGGTGATCGGGTGGGGGACCCAAAACAGTGTTTGCTGTTTTGGGTGGATGATCTCGGTGAAAGAAACCCACTTTTTTTTATAACAAAAAATATTTTTTAAAATGAGATCCACAATGAGACAATACAAACATCATATTATCCCCAAGTATCAACCATTTGGGGACTATGCAGCCTAATAAAGCCTATAAATCATCTGAGCTGCTCATCTCTTTTCAGTGGGCCGCAGCCGCAGCCGCTGCAGGGCATTGTTGGGCGCCGGGATGTCATTGCTGATCTCTTCGATTCTGCAGACCGAATTCCAGGCAGAGAGCAGTGGGTAAATGAAGTACTACCTCAATCTTCCAGGCTTCATTTGGGGATAGAAACTACCTTACATTCTGATTATATATATATATCATTATATATATAAAATGTAATACAGTATATTTACACATGTAGATATGTACCATTTTCTACGTACATATATTATATCTACATGTCTATATTATATCTACATGTCTATCTACATATCTATATATCTACATACCTATATTATATATACACACACATATGTAGGTACAGTTTGGTCTCTGTGATTAGCCATGCCCTTTGGAAGTGCGGCTTCATGGCTAGGCTTACTTCTGCGCGACCACCTGTTTGGTCCTGTGGATCTTCGCTCTTTTCTTCAAGGTGACTCGGGTACTCGTTGTAGGGCTGACGGATGATGCAAGGTTTTTGATACAGCTGGGGCATCTTAATTCTCACCCGCGTCTCTCGGCGAAGGTCTACCAATGCTTCGATTAGTCTGAGTGTGGCCCGTGCAACCTGCCCAGGGAGTTTTGGTCACAGCGTCTTGGTCCATCTGAGAAAAACATCTATTACTTCAACAAGCAGGTTAATTAATAGCACCACTACTAGAAACATGTTGCGTAAGACTTAATTATGATATAACCATCACTCTACCCGTTTTATGATCGATTTGTTTCGGTGGGAGAGACCAGCCTTTGAGATATCTTGGATAGTGACTTCGTCCCAGAGACCAAGACTCCCTCATTTTTAAGGCAGCGAACGGCTGCGATGTCCGTTGTGACTGCGGGCGCATGCCCAACTGGAGACGGCCAAAAGGGGGTCGCATTGAGGGCTGAACGGCGGGATGCGATGTTTGATTTCAATAGGGTGTCCCTCTGTGGTCGGACGAGCAGCGATAAAGAAAACAGCGCCAGACAGATTTATGCTCTTGTTGGTGCATTAGCATCAATCTGATACTCGATGTCGCTCTCATGCAGTGAATGCAACAATGTTCTAAACTCTCACCCACCACACAATAGCATTGAACAAACGTTGCGTCAACTTATTTTCAGGATCATATCCAGGGTCAGCGAATCACACTACGCGATCAGAATTGTCCCTAACAAATCTGAGTTCAAACATTCAGTCAAAGAAGATCAGGACATGTCGGACACCGTTCGGTCTTTGCAAGTGGGAAACTAAGAAATTGTTCCTGGGCACCATGCGCCCTTCACTGTACTTCAACTGGGACGCTCGAAGTTTCGTCGGCCACAAGTACTGCGCTTTGACACTGTTCTCTTTGCACCATGGCAATTCCTACGTTCCACAACGATTGCAATGTAGGTGTAGGGTGGTACCCTTTTGGAAAGTCTATGTTTCAGCTTCAGGATCTAACCTTTTGAGGCTTGTAGCTGTTGTACCCTTCGACATCCAACGTATTTGCCACAGTATGCCGCGGTCAAGTGTGCTCTGCCGATGCGAGCTTGGCACACAGGTTTGCAACACTTGCAGCACTGAACGGGAACGGCCACAGTTGCTGATTTTGATATGTGTTGTCATTCTAACATCATCAGAAAAGACCTACATGTTGGTGGGATGTTTGTGACCCTTGATACGGACGAGCGGTTTCTTCTTCCCACCTTCATGCTTGGCTGCGGTCTATCTGGCTGCTGCCGTTTGTCCGTTTGGGCTGGTTGATAGCTTGTTCAGGGGCGAAATAAGCTGTGGGTGTGCAGTCTGGCAGGTGGATTTTTGCTGATTTCAGTCTTCCAACAAAGCTCTGAAAACCAAAGTTTGTCTGATGTTAGGTCTAACTGCTAGGTCGTGTTTTGAAAGCCCTGCAGTTTTGACAACTCTCAGTCTATCTTACTGCTGGTGTTGAGAACGAACATGGCGATGTTTGTCAGCCTTTCAGGTCCAGAAAAATGTCTTGCGCAAGCGCGAAAAAAATGGATGCACGCGCCGGCTGTATGAAACAAACATGAACCCCTGCATCTCAGTACAGTCTGCAAACACCGGAAACTGACCCACTTTTGGAGTGGTGATTCCTGTTGTGTTGCATGAGAATGTTGCGTTTGGGAACCGTACAACGTCGCACAAATGAAGCACACGCGGGGCAGTCATGAGAATGGAGCCTGACACGCACCATGGCAACCATTCACGCACCTCGAAAACCTTTTGCGACCGAAATTGTGGCCTAAAGCGCGGAAACACTGAGGAACCAAAACCCAGTCCGCGGAAGATTCGCGGAATCTTTCGGGGAAGAAACTAGGAGCATCTTGGAGTGATTGCACGATTTTAGCCACCGCAGATTCATTTTACACAAGAAAATGCATTCACCTTTCATCATTGAAACTGCACAAACAATAGGCCATGAGCAGGAAACATCACCGTTGCAAACAAAAGAAAATTGAATGAGGTGCTGCCATGTGGGGCTTTGGGGTCCGCATGTTTGGACTTGGAAGCTGGGAGACAATATACCTTCGGTAAAACCGCGCTGCCGAACCAGTAAAACATCCCTCTTGCCAAACATGTGTTTGTTTATATAATGGACGGTTCGGTTCCCAAACCCAACATTCACACGGGCGTTCGTAATCGTTCCACCATGTTCGAGCAAAATGCAAACGACACGGGGAGAAAAGGTTCCAAGTCAAACATGTAGCAAACATGTGAAAGGAAGATTCGATCTCAGGGTGTTGAGAGAACCCTCACCAGGGAAACGTTGAAATGTTGCAACTGTCACAAACCAAGGTGTATCTGCTGTTGCCGATTGGAAAATCGACACTTTAAAATGTTGCAAGCACCATGGAGAGGACACTGCTGCAAATACTATGCAAATACACGTTCCATTTCCAAAGGGTCGCAAACATACGGAAACGAACTGCTTCAACGCCATCAATATTTGTGAGAACCATCTAGACAGAAACATGAATCGAATGAACAGCACACCAAGCTCTTTTATTTTTTTCAAATCCACATGTACGACGTTACCCACGGTTTGAGCGGCGACCTAAGCCCGTTTTTTTTTGGTCCTGAGGGCTTGCAACTGATTCTGTGTTTGTAGGTCATAAATTCATAAATGGTGATATGGTCAAGGGGCAAGACTATGTGCGCCCAGTCATTCTCGAGCAGTGTCAAATCACGAAGGCGAGAGGGTTTTATTAATGGAAACAATTTTAGAAAAACGTTGGCCGGGCTGAATTGGTAAAGAAACAATTGAGGACAGAAGAGGGCAGGATGCAAGGACTACAGGCCCCAGAATGCCAGCAAAACCCAAAGGACGAAATTCCGATAAGAAGTAGTACCATCAATCACGACGGGGGTCAACCATCAACCAACATCAACCAATCAAGGGAACTTGCCTGAAGATATCATCCCCATGGAACACTTAACCACACCAGTATTAAGGTTCACATGAGGAATCAGCACTGTTACCTCCATGGAACAATCAATGAATCATACCGCCATGGGGGCTTGCATAAAGGATCCAACCTTCTACCTGCCCACAATGTCACAAAGCACAGGTTCGATGTGTGATGTCCTAGTTTCTGGATGACTTGTGTCATGCACTGCATTTTGTAGTAACACACGCATGCACAACCTTTTGTAGAACCTACTGCGCCCCCCTCCAGATAAGCCCCAAAAATATCGAAAAACATGCTTTTTATGTAGAGACTTTAAGAAGGAAAAATAGGACAGATTTGGTTCAAAACCGATCAATTGAATTTGAAGTTGTGCGCTTAGATCGTTTTTGTTGCCCCATAGCTCTGACGATTGCAGTTCAAAATCTCTGTGCCTTGCTCTTGCCACATCTGTTTTGGCGATCACGTGCGATTACCAATCATAATCTAAACGTATCCCATTCTACTAGGTTCCTGCTCTTTTTGTCCAATGGTCAAGTTTCACCCAAGTTCAACGAATCCATGCTCAGAGTTCCTTTCACCCACAATGTCACAAAGCACAGGTTCGATGCGTGATGTCCTAGTTTCTGGATGACTTGTGTCATGCACTGCATTTTGTAGTGACACACGCGTGCACAACCTTTTGTAGAACCTACTGCGCCCCCCTCCAGCTAAGCCCCAAAAAGATCGAAAAACATGCTTTTTATGTAGACACTTTAAGGAGGAAAAATGGGATAGATTTGGTTCAAAACCGATCAAGTAAATTTGAAGTTGTACGCTTAGATCGTTTTTGCTGCCCCATAGGTCTGACAATTGAGTTCAAAACCTCTGCGCCGTGCTTTTTTCAACCCTTTTTTGAAAGGTCAATTCTTGGTATCCGATGGAAATCCCAAGGTTGTATTTACTTGTGCTCGGCAAATACTAT